ACCTCACACAATAAGCACTGCTTAGCGTGAGCACCCATCCCAGAAACCCATCCATTCAAATGAGTCGGACTAAACATGGAAAGACTAAAATTGAACAGCGCAACTGACAGCGCGAATGGTAACTCCGAACAAAGTGGCGGCTGGCCAGGAGCATATGTACGATTTTGTAGTTGGGGAAGGGGCACAACATCAAAGTTGTCAGTGAAAATCAGTTTTGGCGTGCCGCGGCACACATAATTTCCTGCATGTAGAACAACTTATTGCATATGTTTACTCTACTCGCCATTGTCACTACGAAGCACTAGCAGCACAGACCATGCGGCGTCGCCTACCTCTTACTGTGGCAGCTGAGACGGACACTGCGTGAGATCGAAGTCAAACCACGCACATCCAGCTTACCAGCATTTTTATCGAGTGTCATCTCCGTCGCATCCATGTTTTCTACCATTGACAAACCGAGGAGATAGGTGAGCGGCCGCAAGGACCATCTTGCCGCGCCCTCTGCCCTCGAGACAGTGAAACATGCCAGACTGCTCTCTCTTGAAGATTTTTTCGAGTACATTCCTATGTGTGCACACGTCATGCGCGTGCAGTGCGCACACACATAGCCAACCTCTCCTCGTATGCCCCCCTCCCCCCCTGCACACCAACACGCGTGCCGCAAAGTAAAGCAAGGTAAAACTCCTACCATCTCTGGTTGGACCCTGCATCTAGGTGGGTGTCGTTCTCGAAAGTATTGTAAAGTAATGTGGATGCTACATTTGGCTATGTGGCTCCCATGTCTTCCGGTCCGTTACATTGTTAGTGATGCACTCTCAATTTGTGCAGTTATTTTACTTGGCAAGTTTTATGACGCGCGTAAATAAAAAGCCACCGGGAGAAAGCCATGCAGATTTGCCCTAAATTGTGCAGCCCGCCATCAACCACGTCACGCCATCTGATGAGCGGATCCTCCGCGGGGAAGATGCGTACATAAATGGCCGAAGCGTGGCGCCGCACGACGACACTGAACTGTCCCTATCAGGATAAATCCAGACAAGTCCAGATCTTCAGGAATGTTCGGGGCGGTTTACGATTACATCAGCTGATCTATGAGTCTAAGGTCAGCGTGCCTATGTGAAGCGACGACGATGGGTGGCACGGCGGACGCCTCGCAACGTTGTCGTGGATTGCACCGCAAAACACGGGAAACACGTTTGTACACATGAAAGGGATGGATGCATGCCTTACCCATTACACTCGCTGTTTTGTGAGCCTTTGTGCAAAGCCATATTTATGCAGCACCACAAGGTGGCTGCAACAGGCCTCCGCATAATCAATGATAGCACATGGAGCTTGTAAAATTTTCGCGATTCCTCGCCGGAGAATGGGGTCTTGACGGTCACCCTGAGGTTGGTCTCGACTAGCTTTGGAGCAGACGATAGACAGCCGTTGATTGCACTTTGCCCTCATGCATCAGACGACAGCGCACAGTTTGCCATGTAGCACACATTTCAAGTGATTGCCCTCGTTTTCCTTTCTGTACTTTGCCATGCTACATGAGGTGCAATTATGCGCAATATCATTAGGAGTATAGGCCAAACAAGGTCTTACTAGATGGCATGTCACTAATCGATAAACCTCCAGAACATAACATTTAGCCTTTCATGACCTTGGTTGACATCCCTCATATCTTAAGAAAATATTTTTGGCCCAGTATAACAAACATAATCCGGGTTGGTTTTGTTTTTTGAAACTCAGCTTTTGGGCAAAGCAGGGCGTGAACGCTATTTCGTTGACATCGATTTCGGATGGTACCATCAAACTGTAGACGATTCACATGCATTGTATTCACACGTGTGACATGATTCCTTAAAAGCCTTAATCAACACAGAATGTAAGCAGCATGAAGAAATGTATGAATGTTTCCCTGACTGTTACTGTGCCAGTTCCAATATCAGCAAACGACCCTGGTCTTTAAGTGAGGAGCACCCTAAGCGAAGATACGCTTAAGCTAGAGACTCACGTGGTCTCGAGCCGTGACTGATTCTGAGCACACGTAGGTTGTCAATTATAAGGTGCGTCCGTATTATCTCTCTACCCCGTGGAGATCATAGTGCATGCCTACATGTCTTCCGTAACTAGCCTCACCCGTTCTGGCTCCGCGAATTGATAGAACATATGCACATAGTCGGAGGAACGTATTCATATGACAGAAACACGCATATTTTACATTTTTCACGCACGTTCCAAATGTCACGCACATTTTGGGATTCCGTGCGTGGGTACCGGAGGGCTCGAACGGTCCTCCAGGCAGTTTTACATTCGTCTTATCATAGTGCACGGCAGGAAAGCAAACAACACGTGCCTTAAATCCCGCATCAGCAGCAACGAACCTGAGTGCGTCGGATTGGTCGCATCGTGACGCCGAGGCGTGTTCGACGGCAGTGCGACAGCCAGCAGTCCTGACAGCTACGGGAGTCAGCTAGCTTCCGTTTCCCATCCACCCCCCTCCTCCCTCTTCGGCGCGACGGCGGCACACGCCTCTAGTGTCACCCCTCCGTCTGGCGGGGTGGTTGCTCCCGTCTCCAAATCTGGTAGCGGCCAGTTTTGCGGGGCGCCGCAAAGGGCGCCACTTATCCGCGCACGCGCCGCTCACCGTAAACACGGCGCGGTCCGCCGCCGTCTGCCGAACAGCTGATGAGCAGTCGGCCCCGCGTCGCTGGACTGATCCGGATGTATCCGGCCGGTGCGGGTCACCGAGTACGTGCCATTCTTCTCCGGGTACCTGGTGTTAAGAACGCTGGGGTGCGTCTGATCCGAATTCGCAGTGCGAGACGATGCAAGTACCACAGTTATTATGACTGCTCCAGTACCTTCTCTCGCCAGCGGAAACGGGGTCAGCGTCTTTTGTATCCCACATTTCATAAATGACATGATTGGTAGAAACATGGAGGTCCGCTGAGAGCAGAGCTGCATTCGGTGTTCAACGAGTGAGTACACACCTCAGCGCTTCCACTGAAAAGGCGCGAGCACACCAAACCAGTCAGCGTCTTTGCTAAGTGCTTATGAGAGACAGCCCTGACATAATCCTGGAGCGTGCGTGGGTCCCTTTAGGCTTCTGGCTACACTTGCTTGTCCTTTTTCGCTATGGAAACTGCTCGTGCTGATCGTTGTTACCAGTGCTACGTCGTTAGTCTCACGCACCAAACAAAACGTGTGGTGTGTTTATTGTTGGAACACGTTTCAGTTTGTCAGCTTTGTGCTCGTTCCCAGCTCGCGTACAGGCCAATTGTGCACCAAAACTGTCTATCTCATGAGATCTCATGAGAAGTATACATTAGGCGACGGACACAGACTATTGTGAATGACAGCTGATAAGTAACTGTCCGCTTCCGTAATTTCTTTGAACTTTGACACTAATCTGATGTCGACGCGTGGAAATATTGACTTTTAAAAGGCCAGTCTTTCTTTTTGTAACTTGCGTGTGTCTGGTTACGCTTGCTTGTTCTTTTTGTGCTAAGGAAACTGCTCGTGCAGTGGCTTGCAGACCACAAGCTGTGACACGAAGGAAGACGCTATAAGTTTTTCACAGCATAGTAGCTAAGCGTTCATATTCACTAGGTTTGCACGGTAACTAACACATCATCACAGTTACAAACAACATTAAGCATCAAACACATTATAAACAACATCACAGTTAATTATCCCATCGTGTATTCTCTTTGCACATGTCGCACCATATAAAATAACTTAACACGCGCATGGGCGGCCGGCTAGATAACCTTCTCCCGGGTGGGGTCAATTTGACCCCCCTGAGATCTCGGGAACCAAGAAAGCTAGAGATACTAAATTTGCAGGGTGTGTTGACCTGTACGTGAATTTACTTAGGTCAAATTTTTATGTTCTTAGGTCATGACCTTCGGGTCAAAAAAGGTCAAACAAGGTCGAGTTTCAGGTTGATCTTCAAAGTGCCCCCAGCACCTAGATAACCGTTTCTAAGCAAAAGGTTACATGCTCATTTAAGGTCAGTGACCTTGTATGATCTTTTGACGGTCAAGGTGACCAAAATAATACAAGATTGCTTTGAGTTTTGCATTTGACGAAGCGACAAAGATTGCACTAGGCAGTATGTTTCTAAAACAAAATGTTGACCGGGGTCATTTTAGGTCGGTGACCTATTCCGACCTCTAAGAAGTCCATGGATGATGTATAATGCAGTTCCTGCTGTCAATAAATTATAAATGAGCACCAGAAACTATCTCATGCAGCAAGCCCTAGAGTAACAAAACAGGTTGGTTTTGACCTTGGTGTGACCTTCATACCTTACCTTAGGTCAATATAATATGCTCATTTAACTGTTGTGTTGCCTAAGAAAGCATCCCAGAGATGCATGGCCTCGTTTAACACTCCGTTGTAAGATCAGATTGAAGGATTCCATAGAAATTGCCCCCGCTGAAACCATGGCCTGACTTTGACCTGCCATAGGTCAGCGACCTTACAATATACATCTAAATTTGTGATGTCAAACGATCAGCTATTCAATTTTCTAGAGCTGTGCAAAATTTGGCGCGGCTGTGCCGCGCCGTTCGGAAACCGTTCTGGAAAAACCTTTGGGGGTCAATTTGACCCACCACCCGAGCGCGTGTTAACAGAGGCGTCGGAAAAAAGGCCGTTGGAATCGTGGTCCACCACCCATGCACATGGATGCTCAACATGCGCACTGTGGCCATGCACGAAAATGATTAATTTTGAAAAGGTGTTTGAAGCAGCCACCCTTTGAGGCCTTTCTTTTGGCACGGCGGATACTCCCTCGCATTCGAGAACAATGCGGTGAACCCTTCATTTTCTGAAGGGTTTACCGCCATCAATGTAGCTCATCTGATCCTGTGTTACTTCGATTAGGCGAAAGGCCACGGTCCGAGCTTGCTCTCCTGAGCTAACCAAAAACCATGCGGCTTCAGCGAACCGGCCCGACGCGACGTGACCCGGTCATCAGCTACACTTCCGACGTCCTAGAAATGTCCGTGGTGAGTACCGTAGATGCATGACAATTTTACTGGCTGGTTCTACCTATGGCAGCTAAACGTTGGCTGGTTAGAATAACGTTTAGGATGCTGATTTTCTCCTCTTACCAAGGAAAAATAAACACACCAGAGCAATGCAAAAGTGGCATCAGATAGTCTTTGTAGCAGAGAGCATCTTGTCACCACATGCCCCATCACATGTTGGCAACTTTCATGAATCGAACCATGTTATTGGAGTGAATAGTTCACAGTTGCCTGCGTCTACATTTCGACTTGGTTTGATAAATACATAAGAAATATAGGCAATTTTTTCCTTAAAAAATGTTGCAGTCAGTTTATAGTTAAACTCAACAGTTACGCCGATTTTGTCCCTTTTCGTGAGCATTCATCCGGTATCGATTTTACCCGTGATGTGTTAGAGCACAACTGAAGAACGGCTCAGCATAGGTAATGTGCAAGTTTTGCAGCCTGCAGCCGTGTACGCAATCTAGAACGCTTACTTAAATCGTGTGCATTTTTTGGGTTGAAATTTCAGGTTTGTTTAAACCAGGTCAAACTCAATTTTGCCGGTTCGTTTTACCAGGCTCCGCAGATCAAAACTGGTATGAGTAAAAGAATGCTACTAACTATTGCCAAGGAATAACCTCTAGATCTAGTAGCAACCAGTTATGCAGCCACTATGGGCTTAGGTAATAAAGTCTTGTGGACAGCATGGCAACATTATGTCACCATGCTGTATAATGGGTGACATTGGGTTTCAGACCTTCGTGGATCACAGCCATGCGAAACACTATCAGATGCTGTTTCATGGTCTTCATAATGGGCTGCATAAAGCTTCAGGTCTTTGTGGATCACGGTCGTACGCACACACTATGAAATGGCTGCTTATAGTCCTTTAAATTATTTAAAGATGCGACTTGGGCTGACCTAACCTTGACCCTGAACGACACATTCCAACGGTACATCATCTACGCTGGCCCATGATATATAACTGCTTTGTGGACCAAATTGGCAGCAATTAAGAGTTATCTTTGATGCGGCCTTCACCTCGAATGACCTTGCAAAGGTCACAGTCATTAATAATTTTCAATATACTACCACTTCTGACCATCAGAGGTCTCGTAGAAACAGCCATGCACAAAAGCAGGCCTGTCACGCAGATTTTCTAAGCCTTCGCCGGACAAATTTGTTGAGAACCTTGTTACAAAAATCAGCGCTTTGACATAGAAGTGACTTGAAATTTATAGGTCGGGCATACAAAATTAAGGGACACAAAAGCTGACAAATTTTCGTCATTATGCGTTGGACGGTCGGTGAGTTGTTTCGAAAAACCTGAAGACCTGTCCTGCTTCGGTGATGGCAAATGTTAAGCTTGATGAAATAGTGAAGAAGAGATAAATTCAGGATACTCAAGATCCCGGATCAAGCTATTTCTGTAAGGAGATATGACTGGGCCTTAATGCCTTATGCAAGAAATATTCATGGATAATGTCTGCGTAACGCCATTTTTTCCTTCTAATGTGTGCCAGTCTCTGAGAGGCAACTGAGTGTGGATCACGTGGATATAAAATAAGCGCGCAACTGATTTCCCACACAGTCCCCCATGCGATGGCCGGCATGTTGCTGGGATCTGAAGCGGGGCGCAGGTTTTCCAGGAGCGTCCGCCCTCCGATCAGTGGCGCCGACGGTGTCAGATGTCACCAGCTAGAACCGGATCGGCGGTGCTCGTCTCCACCGCCGTCCTGTCAAACAATGACGCGTGCTGGCTAACCGGCGACCGGCGGGGACGGGCGCCGGGCGTATATAACGCGGCGCGTGCCGCAAAATAGCAGACACTAGCTAATCATCTGTCGTGAGGGGCACGTAGGGCCGCGAGGGGTGCTGGCCTGCTAGCAGAGCCGTTGGTAGGTCCTCAGGTCAGAAGACAGCGCAGCAATGGGCCTGGCAAGCGAAGTCGAAGCGCAGGGCACCTCCGGGGCGGTGAAGCCCCGTTTGTGGGCGCAGGTGAGCATCAATGCCGACCAGTGTGTCGTCAGAGGTGATCAAAGCACGTTCCTGTGCGCTTTCCACTAATGTCTGCAATGCAACATCACAATCTTATCTGCAGTGCAGCAATCGTCTCACACTTCACTAATTCAGTAGCAAGTGCATATAAAGTTAAATTTGTTGAGTTGTGTGCAATCTCAGCTTTATCAAGTGCAATGTACAAGCTTTGGTTTTTTAGTTGCGATATACGTAACACGCGCTTAAAAGAGCATGTGAATAATAAGGCGTCTATTCTCAGGTATATCCTCGCGCATTACGCTAAACTATACAGTTGGCCAAGTCGTGAGCCTGTGTCGTCTAGCGGAGTGGCCGATGACTGCTCGCTGACAACGGGTGGCGGGGGCTGATGGCTGACCCCTGGCCCGGCAGCTGCTGGCCACCCTCGGAGCGTCGATGGCCGTCGGAGGCTGGGCCGTCGGCATCGGCGTCGGCGGCCTCTGCGTGGACCAGCTGTCCCGCGGCATCGGCGGCTTCGTGCTTACCGAGAGCCAGGAGGTCTGGATCGGTGAGTGTAGCTCCATAGGAGTGCCAGAAGTTCTGGATCGTTGAGTGCAGCTCCATAGCAGTGTCACCAGGTCTGGAGCGGCGAGTGCAGCTGCGTGGCAATGCCAAGAGGTCTGGATAGGTGAGTGCAGCTCAGTGTGGAAGATAATGAATGGCCAATGGGAAAGAAGGCGAAAGGTGAAACAACTTCTGCCAGAAGATTTTTCTAGATTGTTGTCGTATTCCATCAACGGAGCTGTTCGTCACGCTTAACTTCAGCTAAATGTATGTGGTGAGTCCAATTGTCCCGACACAGTAATACAATCCAATAACTCAGCATTCTCCGGTCCGCGTGCCTTTTATTAGCTCCGTCTGTTGTCGTTACCTAGTTTAAGTGTAATGCCTGGAGACGCAATGCATTACAATGGCGAAAAATCGAGCCAAACCATCCTGCACGACTTGCTTCAAATGAATATCTTACCCAGAATGTCTTGTTTTCGCAGTGACGTCCAACTTCATCGGGACAGTGGTCGGATCTGCCGCGGCCGGGGAGTTCTCTCGTCGCCTCGGAGCCAAGAACACCATGCTCTGGTTCTGTATTCCCGCCGTCGTTGGCTTCGTCATCACCAGCGTGGCCAACTGCTACGAGGTTCTGCTAGCAGGTCAGCTTCTCGTCGCACCAGGTCCGGACGCAGTTGAACAGTTGGTGACACCGTTCTGCGGCCTGTTTCAAAGCCATCAGACGTTTGCCCGCGCTCCTCGAAATATAACTGCTGATGTACTTCAAACATTTAGCAAGTTAACTTATGTCATTCGGATACGAAAGAGAATATCCATTGTGTTACGTGGTTGTGCATTTGTCACCGGCAAATGTTAACACGTGACACGCGCTCGGGTGGGGGTCAATTTGCCTCCCACGAAGATGTTTCCGGAATAGTTTGCGAACGGCGCGGCGAAGCCGCGCCAATTTTCTTTTATAGCTGCAGAAAATTGAATAGTAAATTGTTTGGTATCATCAATTTGGATGTGCCTTGTAAGGTTGCTGATCCAGGGCAGATCAAAGTCAGGCCATAAATTCAGCGAAGTCAATTGTTGGGGAATCGTTTCATCTGGTGTACATTTCTAAAATACCGTCATGGGCAACGCAACACTTGAATAAACAAATTCCATTGACCTAGGGTCAGGGATCAGGGTTAGACCAAGGTCAAACCCAAAATGTTTTACTATTTTAGGGCTTCCTGTATGGGGTAGTTTCTGGTCCTCATTTTAAATTTGTTGAAAACAGGAACCTCATTATACTTTTGCCATGAGCTTCTTTGAGGTCAGAATAGACCACTGGCCTAAAATGATCCATGTCAACGTTTTGTTTTTAGGAACATACTGCCTTGCGTAATCTTTGTCGCTTATTCAAATGCAAAACTAAAAGCAGTCTTGTATAATTTTGGTAACCATGACCTACGAAAGGTCTGACACGGTCACTGACCTTAAATGAGTGTGTGACGTTTTGCTTAGAACAGGTGTCTAGGTTGCGGGGCACTTTAGACGTCTCTAGTTCTCTTAGTTCCTGAGATCCCAGGGGGGTCAACCCCCACGAGCGAAGGGCATCCAACCGGCCACCCGGGCGCACGTTAACCAGCACCACACTGAGGTAAAGCAGTCAATATTTCGCCCAACTCTGTGCCTTCATCTGACCCGTGTCTGACCCTCTTTCTAGGACGCCTGTTGGTTGGCTTCTGCGCCGGTCCCGCCTTCGTGCTGCACGTGTTCTACATCAGCAGCATTGCGTCGCCGGAGTACCGCGGCCTCCTGGCCATGCTGCCCGACATCATCTACATGCTGTACGTGATCGTGAGCCTGGTGCTGGGCCTGGCGCTGCCATGGTGGTGGGTATCGCTGGTGGGCGCGGCCGTGTTCGCCGTGCCGGCCATGCTGGCGCTGACGCTGGTGCCGTCCGACCCCGTCTGGCTGCTGAGAACCGGCCAGCTGGCCGAGGCCGAGCGCTCGGCCCTCTTCTTCGGCATCGAGCTGCCCACCGAGCCGACCGACACGGCCGTCGTGGCGCGGAAGTCGCCGTGGAGCCTGCTGGGCCAGCGGCGCCACTACCGGCCGCTGCTGCTGTCGGCCGCGCTCCTGTCGGGCGTCTCGTTCTGCGGCTACACGGCCGTCATCAGCTACTCGCTGGTGTTCCTGCGCGAGCTAGGCACGGCGCTGGACGCCACACTCGTCAGCGTGCTGCTCTGCGTGGTGCGCATCGTCACCGTAGCCGTCGTGTCGGTGCTGCTCGACCGAGCCGGCCGGCGCACGCTGCTCATTGTCTCCGCCTGCGGCATGGTGATCAGCTACCTGGCCGTGGCCGCCTACTTCTACGTGCCGGCGCTGGCGGCGTACGCGTGGTTGCCGCTGGCGGCGCTGGTGCTGGCTGTATTCTTTTTCTGCATGGGCGTGGGTTCCGTGTCGTGGTGCCTGATCGGCGAGATGGTGCCGCCGCGGCTGAGCGATGCCGCCGGCGCCGCGCTCGTCTTCTACTACAACGTCGCGTCGCTGCTGAGCGTGCAGCTGTTCCCGGCCATGCTGGCGGCGCTGGGCTTGGGCGGCGTGTTCCTGGTGCACGCCGGCATCGTGTCCGCGCTGCTGCTGGTGGTGGTGCTGGCCGTGCCCGAGACGCGCGGCCTCTCGCTGCAGCAGATCGAAGCGCTGTTCGAGGCGCCCCGGGACGACACGTACAGGCTGGTCAAGGCCCTGCCGCTGCCGGCCGGCTACAACACATTCAGCCCCGTCGGTGGCGGCTGAACGCTGCGCCAGTTGACAGCAGCGGACACTGCACTGAGCGCGGTCTGGTCACCTCGAACCGATGTCACCTCATGGATGCCTCTTATTGTTACCAACTGTGAGGCGGGTACTTCCTCTCAGTCACGCGCGGCAAGTCGGCCCGTTTTGCGGGAACATATGGACGTTGGGTGTGTGGTTGTAGTGTTTGGTGCGGACACTCCACACCATCATATCGGCCGTTCGTAGTTACTGCACTAGTCAACGCCCATTCGTCACACGGAGCACAATCATTTGTTTACCTTGTGCTCTCCGCCGCACATCTGGTCGCTGCTTGTTGGCCAGCATGTGAATCTGGGTATGCCCAGGTGTCTGTGATATGGCTCAGTCAAAGGCAGCCTGTGTATATGGTTTGGTGAGGGTGTTCATGTGTCAATTTCTTGCCACCTAGCGATACTGATATACATTTGTCAGCACGGTTGTGAAAGCAGTGACTCACAAACAGTTGTATACTATGAAATGTGAATACACGCGTGTGTACGAGTAACATTGTTTATCGTATGCATTGCGCCACCGAAAAACGTGACATACTCCGAATGAGCTGGCAGCCTGGAGACTGGTCCATAGTTCATCATGGTAGCGATAGCAGCTGTGTCTGGAGGCTGGTTCATCGTCCATCATGGTAGCGATGGCAGCCTGGAAGCTGGTCTATAGTCCATCATGGTAGCGGTAGCAGCTGGCAGCCTGGGGGCTGGTCCATAATCCATCATTGTAGCGATAGCAACTGTGCCCGAAGGCTGGCGCATGGTCCATCATGGCAGCGATAGCAGCTGTGACTGGAGGCTGGTCTATAGTCCATCATGGTAGTGATAGCAGCTGTGCCTGGAGGCTGATTCATAGTCTATCATGGTAGTGATAGCAGCTGTGCCTGGAGGCTGGTCTATAGTCCATCATGGTAGTGATAGCAGCTGTGCCTGGAGGCTGATTCATAGTCTATCATGGTAGTGATAGCAGCTGTGCCTGGAGGCTGGTTCATCGTCCATCATGGCAGCGATAGCAGCTGTGCCTGGAGGCTGGTCTATAGTCCATCATGGTAGTGATAGCAGCTGTGCCTGACCCACGTAAGGAAGAGCGATACTTACCAATCCTTCGGACTTAGGTGGCGACGGCACAGTTCTCATCTACAGGTTTGCAGCGCAATCCCTTCATGTAAACAAACATTTTCAGTGCCATTCAGATGAACACTAACATATAAATGCAGGGTGGCCGCGCAACACGACATTTCACTGTCAGCGCAAGAAGATAACGCAACGCTTGCCTTAATTTCAAGGCTAGACATCAAAATGTTCGTGACTCAGTTAGCTGTACATTTCATACTTCACTGTAAAATACACTGGAATAATTCACTTTACACTGATGGATTTTTGTACAGACTGAATCATCGTTGGACAGAATGCAACACTGCCGCTCGTCGGAATTAGTTGGATTTTAAGGCTACTCTCAGGAGTCGCAGATCTCTCATGGTTCCAGGGTGAATCCAATGCCAAATCCAAGCAAAAACCGGCATGCGATAGTCATTCTAAAACCGCACTGAGCCGGTTACCTTGAATTAACCTACGCAGGCTACCATTGTCAATAAGTTTTAAACTTATTTGAGTCGGTTCATGCTTCATGGCACATACATACATTGAGTTAGGGATCGTATGAATGCAATAAACACGAAATATGTATGGCAAAGAAAGACTTTCATGTTTCCGGTAATTACCCTCCGTCGAATATTGGCAAATCACTACATAGTTAGCGCGCAATAAATTGTGTACAGCAGTCACTTGCGGATAGCATGAATACTCATTTGCACACTTAATGAAAATGGCAGGGTATTTTGTGATGCGCGTACCGTGTCGATGCCAAACCTTACGTTAAGTCAAAGGAGGATAGTTATGTTTTCGTTAATGACGGTTGCAATGTCTCGAATACACGTAGTTTCTTGAAGCTTTCGCTCAACATTGCAATAGCACTTGCATAATATTTGCGGCATGATGGGTTCAGATTACTTCGCTAAGTTACATACCTTTGTTTTACCAGGAGGTATAAGTTTAACGACGCCATAGTGCTAAGCAACCATCATATTCGTGGTACTCAGTATTTCGCGCTGCGCCTACTTATTACCAAGAGTCAATAGTCATCCTCGAGCGTGAACGTAGCTCAAAATACTAAGTACCGCCATTACGATCGTGTTTAGCGCTCTAACATCGTTTAGCGAAAACCTCCTGGTATATTGAAGGTTCTTAATTCAGTACAAGTATTTTGAACTCATAACCTCGAAAAAATAGGATCTGAAGCATATTCTTCTTACACCAAATACATAATATTTACCGCATAACTAGTACTTCAGGTGCCAGGTACAGAATACCAATCGTATGCCACTTTTGCTGGCTTGAATTTCGTCCGTATGGCTCACCTCGAATCTATGAGGTGAGGACCGCACAAACCAATCAAGCACATACCACAGTACCTATCTGATATATGAAAGGAGCCTATTGTTCCAGATGTATATATATATATATATATATATACATATATATGTATGTGTGTGTGTGTGTGTGTGTGTGTGTGTGTGTGTGTGTGTGTGTGTGTGTGTGTGTGTGTGTGTGTGTGTGTGTGTGTGTGTGTGTGTGTGTGTGTGTGTGTGTGTGTGTGTGTGTGTGTGTATGTGTGTGTCATGTATGTGGGACCTCCTGAATATAGAAGGTGCCTCCTTACCCAGAACAGGGCCTCCGGCTTATAACCGGGGCCTCCCGTGCCAGCAAAATGCGCTCCTTAGCACAGTATTGCGCCTTCTGATTTAGAGCATGCGCTACCTTATGCATATAAGTGGCCTTATGGTCCGGAAAACGGACTGCTGTTGTAGAAAGGGGTCTTCTGATCCTAATTTAACCTTTCTAGCTCAGTAATGGGGTGTCCTCTTTACCTGAGTACCAGCAGCTACCAAGCCTTTAGTTTTGGAAAAAGGGGCCTCCCAAAAATGGGGGGGGGAAATTATACTCTTCGTCCCCTACCGGCAGGCAGGGGTTGTCACCCTGCTGCGCGTAGACATTTGTTTTATCATAGCCATCACGCGCGTGTCACGGAAGTCAGATCAAAGCGAGCTGCTACGGCCAACCGGGCCTGGCGGCCAGCATCCAGCCCCTGCGAACCGCCGATGCACAACGGGCGGAGTGCTTGGATGGTCCCGCGGGACTTGAATGTCCCTGTATGGTCGCACAAAATCGCAACTATTTTGAGAACGCGACGAATTCCAAGCTTTCATGTCGGCTGTACGTAGAATGCAGTGCATGTTCCAGAAGCATGCCTGCTAACTCCAAGATCTGCGGCGCTTTGCTTCCCCTGACATATGATTTAAAAACGAACTGAAAAGGACCGCAGAATTCCCGGCATGCAACACAACCAAAATCAAGACAGAGTGTACAGCTTGTCTTAAGAGCAAAATCAAACGCATGCATTTTCAAATGAAGACGAGCTGTGCATAAACAGCGAACTGAGCCAGCGGAAGACATGCGAATCGAAACGCAATGACCTCTGGTACTCTTTTTTCAAGTCATCGCAGTCAAAGTTGTTATAGCCAGCGCTGGGTGACAACCAAGCGACGGCTAGTGAGCCTTGTCTGGCAGCGAAGAACATGAGGAAAGGCAGCAGCCGGCTATGTCATCTTAGAGGCCGCCCATAAAAACGCACACTGTATATTTTTGCTCATTTGCAACAGCCTTCCTCCTGATTACGCATAGGTTATGTTCGGCGCAAGCCTTCTCTCCTTGGTTAGGCTTTGTTACGCGCAACTTCTCAAACAGGCACGTCTGTTTGGCCCCCAAGTGTGAATAAACCTGACGGATAAGCATTCCTCTCCCCGCGTCGATTGCCTTTGTTATGCACAGTTCATTAGCATCGTGAATTGAACGCTTACAACATCAATACCAGGGGATTACGGTCCAATCATTTCAGTTTTACAGGTGAGTTTTCAGCTTTTTGGTGAGCTGTTTTTTCAGCGCTATAAAAGCGCTCTAAAATGTCCGGTGTGTGCCAAAATCCACCACTACTGTAGGCTTCCTCCAGGCGTACTTGCTGCTGAGTCAGCTGGCACGACGTTGTCTAGCTCTGAGATGCGAACACACACACATATCGCATTTGTAACTTACAAAGGAAGAATTTTAAGGTTGTTAATTTCTAGGATTACAACAGGAAGAGCCCACCCATCGCGCCCAACGTGTAAAAGAAGAGCGGTTACAGCTCGCTCTGTGGTTTCAAGCTGGCTCGTTCATTGATATCACAAAAAAAACTTTCAAACATTGAACGGCCTGATGCTCTCGCTGATCACCTGGCCAATAGCAGGCGATCAAAGAGAGCATTGTTCTGCGCACAGAGCCCGCTAATAACGTGGCCTGATGGAAGGGTATTGGATTTGCAATAAAGTGGTACTTGGTTAAGACCTGGGTGGACACATTGTTTTCTCCCACTGTCGAAGAAAGATCAGCTGGCACCTTGCCAAACGGGGTCAGCTTGGCCCGCGCGACTGGGTCGGAGTACTGTACGACGTGTTAAACCGTCTACAATGCTGTCTGGCAAGAAGGGCGCAGACGACATTATGCAATGAGCCGGTCGGCGTAATGTGGGATCGCAGGGCACGCAAAGTCATCCACTTAACGGGAATGGTGGAATCAGAAAATGCGCACAAATACCCACTTAATAAGCGTGGAGGGATCACAGAACACGCAAAAATGTCCGCTTAATGTGGGCGGTGCGATCAAAGAACACACCAAACCCTCGCTTCCAAGTATTGCGATCAGAAACCACACAAAACCCACGCTTACAAGTATTGTGATCAGTTGCAAGTACTGTGATCAGTTGCAAGCATTGTGAAAAGGCTTAGCAAGTACTATGAGCACAACAACATCCAGGCAAGGGAAGGCATATAACACTTCTTTGCGACACTTTTATATTCCACCAAAGCTTAGATCGGACTACTGTGT